TGGTGCTATCTGGTTTATAATGGGAGAGAGTTCATAGAATCATAGAGTTGGAAGGGACCCCAAGGGTCATCCAGTCCAACCCCCTACAATGCAGGAATCTTGGCTAAAGCATCCATGACAGATGGCCATCCAACCTCTGCTTAAAAACCTCCAAAGAAGGAGAGTCCACCACCTCTCATGGGAGTCTGTTCCGCTGCTGAGCAGCTCTTACTGTCAGAAAGCTTTTCCGAATGTTCAGTCGGAATCTCCTTTCTTGCAACTTGAAGCCATTGGTTCGAGTCCTACTCTCCAGAGCAGGAGAAACAAGCATGCTCCCTCCTCCATGCAACAGCCCTTCAGATATTTGAAGTGTAGTAATCCTTAGAGAACAAGGTGTGCTGACTATACTGAGCATCTTCTGGCACTGTAGACTGATGAGGTTAGGTAAAAGAAAGATCCAGGGTGCAAAGTTAGCAAGATATCTATGATCCGACTGTATCATCAGATTGACGTGGTCCAACTAGGGCAGCCCAACTAGGACAGGCTGAGGCAGAAAGAATTCTGCTCCTAGAGCTCTCTTCTTCATTGGCAATTTAAGAAGGCCCGGTGTGGATAAGATGCACATTGTCAAAGGAGGCGGGGCTAGCTTATTTGACTCCCATTACTCAGCTCACACATTCTCCATTGTGTGAGAGGGATGTCATCTGAGCCTTCCCGTTGTGTCTCTTGATTTGTTGGTAGGACTATACATTCCCCAATGTCTTAGCTCAGGCAGTAGGTTTCTTTACATCAGGTAGGAGCAGAGTCATGCTTGCAACCAGGTGGGCATACTCCTGTCAGGGCCATCCAAACAACGACAACACCAGGAACTCAAATCCCATATAGCATTTATTTATTTTTAAAAAGAGACAGAATAATAATGATAAATTTTATTTATATCCTGCCCTCCCCAGCCGAAGCCCGGCTCAGAGCGGCTAACAACAGTAAAATGATAAAACATTCTAAAATGATAAAACATTCTAAAATCATTTCATTATAAAATTAATTCCAATCAAATTAATTGCAACCATTGGGCTAGAAGTTGCCAGAGGAGGGAGTCAGGTTGTGCCCTGGCCAAACGCCTGGTGGAACAGCTCTGTCTTGCAGGCCCTGTGGAAAGATGTCAAGTCCCGTAGGGCCCTAGTCTCTTGTGAAAAAGCCCTGGCTCTGGTTGAGAAGAGCCTCTCATGGAAACCATTGAAGACCAAATCCAGGTGTCACTGCCAGGTCTTCTGAACTTGTTGTTGTTGTTGATGATGATGGTGTTAATCTTTTATTTAAACTCTCAAACTTTAAACGCTCTCATAAATGTTTCATGTTCAGTTAGTTTTCAATGAAGCGCCTGCTTTGCAAAGCACAGCAGGGGGAGGAGCAGGGAGAGGAAAGGAAGAAAGAGATTTCATATTCAGCTCTCACCGCTTGAATGAACCCCCTTGTTAGGCAGAGATCGTCTTGGGTTTAGCCTCACTGGAGACGCAGCTGGATTTACACCCCTGCACTAAACAAAGTGATGTCCTGCATGCCGTATTAAAATATTCCTAATCCAAATGAAAATTGTGAATTATTTGAAGTTGAGGACCTGGCAGAAGTACAAAGAAAGCAGATGAAAGCATGATGGGTGGTGACCTGGGCAGGATTAACTCCTGGTATGTGCACTGTTGAGAACAGGGAAAATGCAAGGGCACCCTGAGCCTGTAAGTAGTAGGAGGCAAAACCAACAGAGAGACTGAAGAGCAGCAATAAGCAATGAGCATAAGTAGATGAATCAGACAGGCTGGGCTGGCGCCGTTGAGTCATGAGATCTTCAGGCAAGTCGGCCAGTTTCTCTGGTCTGTGTAATGAGGGGACTCAGCCTGGACCAGCCCCCCTGTGGCAGAAAGCCATAGTTATCTTCTCAGTCCAATGTAATTCCATCAATTCATTTCATTTTGAACTATTATTAACAAGACTTCCTGGGCATCAGCGAGAAACCGCCGACTTTTCCTTATAGAGCAATAACACCCTGCTGCTGGGTTCTTACTTAGCTGAATGCTCGGAACAGCTGAGTAAAACAGTTGTTAATAAGCTTTTTAACCCTGACCTTTTAAAATCAATGATCTACCTATGGTTTTACTTTCTAAGAAGGGGGTTCCATATCCAAGTGATAAAACTATTCTCCACCCTTTACAGTGTTATGATCTTTCTTGCCGACGCTGGATATATGAGCCCATCAAACCATTAGTAGGTATAAAAGTGTATTACGGTATAGCAGTCATGGATACATTTGCTTTAGAGTCAATAAAAAGGAAACAATTTATAAAGAGATTTACACTCATTAGAGAATATCAACACACTGTTTCGCCCAACACTTCAGCAGTATTAAGGAAGCTGTTTCGTCATTATTACAAGAAGATCTGAGCGTTCTCGTGAAGGGGCAACTCAGAGCAGACACCCCATTGGCTAGACAAGGTATATTATTCATGCTGTGGGCATTATTCATGCTGTAAGAATTTTTGCTCAAAGAATTGCAGGAGTTCTCCAAAGCAGAGATTTGGTTGAGTTCTAAAAACAATTGAAATGTATACAATTTTTATGATTGTGGCAGGTACAAAAAAATCTGCATAAATATGTGCTGGCTATACATAAATCTGCCATATGGGTGCTGCTAAAATTGGTCAACAGCAGAAGCTTATCAGTCTTAATGGGGAGGGCCATAGCTCAGTAGTAGAGCAGCCACCTTACATGCAGAATTCCCAGGTTAATTCCTTGGCATCTCAAGGTAGGGCTGGGAAAAATCACAACTTGAAACCCTGGAAAGCTGCTGCCTATCAGTAGACAATATTGGGCTAGGTGGACCAATGGCCTGGTTCAGTATAAGGATGCTTTCTATATTCCTGATGTTGGGAAGTGTTTTGTTGATGCAGGCCATATCATGGAGAGCCTCCACACCTGTCAAAATGTGGGGTACAGGGCCTGATCACCAAACATTGCAGCAAGGAATTTGAATCATAGAATCGTAGCACTTGGAGGAACCCCAAGTACAACCTCTCTGCAATGCTGGAATCTCAACTCGTGGATCCCCATCCAAGTTAAAACCATACCTGATCCTGCTTAGTTTTGCAAATGTGCTAGCAGTTTTATTGTTGCACCACTAGGATTATCATTGAGCATATGGAGGCCATTTTCAGTGGCGTCCCCCAATGGAAAATATCCATCGTATGTGGATTAAGTCATGCCAACAGTTTCAATAAAGAAACTCGCATTAGGCATTTGCTTTGGCTTTTCAAAGTGAGACTGGATAAAATGCTAAGTACCATATAAACTGAAGAAGACCTTGTGGAAAGGGAGGGCAACACATGAGTCAGTTCTCCTCCTCCTGGGTGATGTTGCTATATGCAAAGGGGACTTTTCAACATCCTTGTGTGACAAGCTGTCTTCTAATAAACTTGATGCATGGAATGGTTCTCTGGCATGCAAATGCTCAGGCCCATCTGTTAGGGTGAAACAGTGCCCACTCAGAATGAGGCACACATATCAGGAGGGAATAGGGGAATGTTAGTTACATAAAAGCATAGGTTGAAGAGGACACAGAATGAAATTAAGAAACCTTAAGAAACCTCTCCTTCCTTCCAGCTTCCTAGCATTGTCAAATTAGGAACATAAATATCACCAGTGGCTTCTTCAACATCTGCTCTAGATCTAGTTGCAAGTTCAGATCAGTTGGTATGAACTCTCTAAAGCAGGGTTAGGCAACCAAAGGCCTGTGGGCTGGTTGCGGCCCAATCGCCTTCTCAATCCGGCCCGCAGATGGTCCGGGAATCAGTGTTTTTTTACATGAGTAGAATGTGTCCTTTTATTTAAAATGCATCTCTGGGTTATTTGTGGGGCCTGCCTGGTGTTTTTACACGAGTAGAATGTGTGTTTTTATTTAAAATGCATCTCTGGGTTATTTGTGGGGCATAGGGATTCATTCATTATTATTTTTTTCAAAATATAGTCTGGCCCACCACACTGTATGAGGGATGATGGACCGGCCCATGGCTGAAAAAGGCTGCTGACCCCTGCTCTAAAGTTATCCCCCCTTATCAAACAAGAGAGCTCTTTGCCATTTAGGCTTCACTTAGCCTGAACATGTAAGGAATTATCTATCCAACTTAACGGGTGCACCAGAGTATACACACACACCTTATCAGGGTGCAACATCATGTCTGATGCTGGGGTATATTGTTGTGTTTAGAAAAGAAAACATCCCATATTTATATAGTAGCAGTTCAGTCCTTGGCATGTCTACTCAGACGTAAATACTACCAAATTAAATTAGATTTACTCCCAGGAAAGTGTGTATAGGATTGCCACCCAAGTTATACATAATTGGTTCAATGTAGACTTGGTCATACTTAAGAGTAAGATCACTGAAATCAATTGTTGTTAGTCGTGAGTCATTACCAATTTAAGTCCTTCGTAAATGTGGATCCAACCCTATATATTTCATGTTCTTGGGCTTGATAAGTATGCTTTCAAGTAAGTTTTGGCTTGATAAGTATGTGTTTTGCAATGACTTCAAAATATTCCCAAACTTTTCAGTTGACCCAGAGTGAGCTCAGCTCATGAGTAATGGCCTCCTGTTCACTAAAGGCCTGCAATACCAGAGAACCAAGAAAATAGGTGTGGCTAAAGAGCCTTATGTGAACGGCTGTTTTCACACTATACCTTTAAAGCACATTTCCCCCTCAAAGGATTATGGGCACTGTAGTTTACCCCTCACAGTTATAATTGCCAGCAACTCTTAACAAACTACCATGCCCGGAATTCTTTGAGGGAGAGGGGGCAGTGAAATATGCTTCAAATATGCTTTAAAGGTATACTGTGTACACAGCTAACAACAGAGAAACGTGGAACGTGAGAAAGACTTGGGGAAGGGCAGTAGTTCAGTAATGAAGCTTATATAAGGCTGCTTGCTGTGTTCCTAAACGTCAGAGCTTGTTCTAATCACTGTCTGATAAATGGATCAAGAGAAAGAGGAGAATAAGAATCACCTCAGTTACACAAGGCACCATCTGCTTCATCCCCACAAAGGTCCTGTTCCTTCTCAAAGGGACCCTTGGGAGCTTGAAAAGAAAGAAGATACCAGGAACCGTGGGGAAATCAGAATCAACACTAGGAATGACTGCACACTTGTCTGTTGCCACACTGTAGTGACTGTATTAATTTTAGAGACATTTCCTTACAAGAAACATGGGGATGGGAGTTGGGAGATGATCCCTAGGGCTCGGAGTGAGTGGGTGGAGCCTGCCTGGCTGAGAAGGTTCCAGAAGGAAACTAGCATTTGTTGTAAAGTTGCTTAATAAGGCCACTGTGTTATCTCTTGCTTTAAGATATTGACCCTTAACTGGTGTTAAGGGTGTCAGAAATGGGGGCAGCTGAGTATTGTGGGCAAGAAGGGCCTCACCCAAAAAACTGCAGCCTGGTCTCAGTCTAGCAGCAGAAACACCAGCTTCTACAGCACTAAGGTAACTATGGAGCTTTTACAACAACCCCCATCCAACCTGCAAATGCATGGGAATGTTGCAGAAAACGGGAGCAAATTCAGGAAAAGATTTGAACTCTGAGAGCCACAGGGACTGAAGGGAGACCTGATAAAATAAAAATACCTTTGCATTTGGTGGGAGAGTAAGCATTGAAGGTTTACTATAACTTCTGGTTTGCAGAAGGAGAAGACATGAAGTTCAGTGCAGTAATGTCAAAAATTGAGGAGTTTTGTTTATCCCCCCCCCCCCAAGAGAGAATCTGATAGATTTACAGGCATTCAGAGAATGGGCGAAAGTAAAGCATAATACGTCGCAGAGCTAAAAACCCTTGGGCCTTTGGGAGTCTCTGATCAGAAACAGGATTATTTGTGGCTTTAGGGAGAACACAATACGAGAAAGGCTGCCGTGTGGAGAACATCTTGCACTTGAAAGCACTCTCGAGACGTGTGGAACCACAGAGATGGTGAGGGCCCAAGCAGAAGAACTGAGGTCAGCTGTCCATGCCCTAAGCAAGCAGCCACAGGGACAGGAGAAGCTAAATGAAAGAGTGCAGCAGCTTCTTAACAAAGCTCCTGAGGTGAGAAATAGGCTTACTGTGGTCAGAAACAGTGTGCTGCGTCTGGGAAGGGCTGCTGCAAGCAAAACCACTTTGCAAAACATTGCTGGTCACAAGTCCTGAAACCCTGTTGTGCAGATGCCGCTGAAGATACATGTTTATCAGGGTGGGAATATTGCGTGTTTTAATGCTCCTATATATTGCCTCAGCTGGTTCCTAGCTCAGGTGCAATTCTGGTATCTCCACTGCAGGATGTGCCATGCATATAATATGACAGGGTAAGAGCACAAGAGCATAAAAAGAGCCCCACCAAATTAAAGGTTTCTCTGGCCCAGCATTCTGTTCTTACAGGGATCACCCAGATGCTCAAGGAAAGCTCACAAACAGGACATGATCACAAGCAGTGAAAGAGAATATGAAAGGAGACGAGGTTATTAATTGCAGCTGCAGAGCCTCTGTTAAGTGCAGGAGCTCTCCATTTCTTCTTTTGGGGCGGGGAGTCTTCAGATTGCAAGTCTAAGCCCATTCAGTTTAGAAGAGGGCAGCCTATTTAACCAAGTAGTTTGTGAGAGAGGGTGGGGAAGGGAGCCTTGAAAACATGTTGAGGCTGTTCCAGTTCTGTTCCCGTTTGCATTCTTAATTTGCTAACCTCAGGAATCCTGAAGGAGTAAATACAAAGAACTCAGATTTTGGGGGTGGTAAGAGAGGGGATCAGAACAGGGCAAAACTAATTACTGCCACACCCTAACTTTTCAACACAAATGTTTACTGCTAAGCATGACATTTGTATTTCAGCTCATCTAAACTAGGAATCATTTCCATCAGCGGAGCCGGGGGGGGGGGGGGAGCGTTCCTTGATCTGTGTGCTTGTGAGAGAAGGAGCAGCAGATGTTGAAGCAAAGCGCAAACACCCCTGCCAAGGCTTGCTAAGGATGGGAGTTTATCTAATGTGTAAACAACCACCTGCTGCAAATGAAAAATTGCTCCCCCAGCCACCTGATTAAGACAAACATAACGACGGAGTGAAGCTGAGAGGCAGCTTGATTGGTAATTTCATCAAGACTTCTGAACTGAACATTTATCTAGAAGCAGAACAGTGGGACACGCGCTTGGGAGTGGGAAAACCTTTCTCTCTCCCCCCCTTCCCCCGCTTTCCAACCTGCTTTTTCGCTCAAGGAATAGATTGGTGAAATGACATTTAAGAGACAAAACTTGGAAAGGATTTGAATAGTGAAAATAAACATAATGTTATGAGTTGGGGGGCGTGGAGTGCCAGACCCCTCTAATCCCTGGATCCAGGGGGTGTTAAAATCTAATCAAACCTTCTAATTCCTGGATCCAGCACAGGTTCGGTCACTGGAATAGCCTGGCCAGCCTAGTAATGGCTCACTAAAGATGAGATATTAAGGGAACAAAGGGAGTGGCTCTGTGCCAGAGGGGGAATGAGTGGGCTGCCCTCCCTCAATTGTCTCTTACTTAGGCAGGTAGCTGTGTTGTTCTGACACAGTCGAAATAAATAAAACATTTGTCCAGTAGCACCTTAGAGACCAACTAAGTTTGTTCTGGGTATAAGCTTTCGTGTGCATGCACACTTCTTCAGAAGTGGTCTCTAAGGTGCTACTGGACAATTTGTTTTATTGTCTCTTACTTTGAAAGACAAAAGGTCAGAGTGGGAAGCTGAGTTGTGTGAGCTAGAAGCTGCATGCAAAAGCTGCAGGCCGGAAAGGCAGAGACAACCATACCTGATTTCCGCTGGAATCCAAGGCTGTGGCTATGGGAGAAGCAATACCTCTTTGTGGGGTGTTAATGAATCCAAGTAAATGTGTGTGTGCGCACACAAATATTTTTAAAAAATCAAAAAACAGGTTATTAGAAGAGTCAAGAGGCCAAGACAATGATGAAACAAAACATGTTTCTGATGGTGAGATTCAGTAAGGGGTCAAAAACATCTATCTGGAGACTATCACAGCAGGGCCCAGGGGTTCACTCCCTGAACTCATGGCAGCTTGCAGGGAACTTTACATGAAAGTTACCTCCATAGCATTGTTGTTGTTCAGTCGTGTCTGACTCTTTGTGACCCCATGGACCAGAGCACACCAGGCACTCCTGTCTTCCACTGCCTCCCACAGTTTGGTCAGACTCAGGCTGGTAGCTTCGAGAACACTGTCCAACCATCTCGTCCTTTGTCGTCCCCTTCTCCTTGTGCCCTCCATCTTTCCCAACACCAGGGTCTTTTCCAGGGTGTCTTCTCTTCTCATGAGGTGGCCAAAGTATTGGAGCCTCAGCTTCAGGATCTGTCCTTCCAGTGAGCACTCAGGGCTGATTTCCTTAAGAATGGATCGGTTTGATCTTCTTGCAGTCCATGGGACTCTCAAGAGTCTCCTCCAGCACCATAAGTCAAAAGCATCGATTCTTCGGCGATCAGCCTTCTTTATGGTCCAACTCTCACTTCCATACATCGTTACTGGGAAAACCATAGCTTTAACTATATGGACCTTTGTCAGCAAGGTGATGTCTCTAGGTTTGTCATTGCCCTCCATAGCATTATGGATAGGCAATTTTCAGCACGATCTGCCACACATCTGGAGCACATCAGAATGCCCATTCATATCCAGACGTAGATGGGAACGCCCATTGTAGTGTGCAGCCTATTTATAATGACAGATTATTTCAATGTCTGTATGCACAACCGACTTTAAAATTAACACTTGTAGTTCCCAATACACGTGTAGATTTCTGCTTTCCTGCATAGTTCATGTTCTCTGGGGCAGGGTTTGGGTATGTAAATTGCTTTGCAGTGCCAATCCTGTTTAGGATTGTAACCCGTTTTTATAGATCACGAGCTGAACAGCAGGTTGAACTAAGACGTTCAAAGCTCAAATCCATTACTCTAACCACTGGACCTCAAAGAGCCTTGAGCAGGTTTATTTGAAGGGGTAATGATGGTTTCTGCCTCAAGCCCTTAGAGAGCTTGGCTCTCATACACCACAAATCCTGTAGAACATTTGTCAGTGCACTGCAAGTACAAGAAGTGAGAGCAAGGCCAGGGAACAGTAGGCAAATAAAGATCAATACCAGAATAACCAAGATCAATACAGCAAAACTCACTTTTTAATAATTTGCTCAAAAGTATGTGTTCTGTATGATTTGGCAGGCAAGAAAACATGGGCTTTTGAGAACAGTTCTGCAACACCACCTCTGCCTGTGCTGTATATTTTGTTCAAACAATTGTCTGGATGTGGTAGTTCTCTGTTACATCTGCTGGACAAGGGATTTTGTCTTGTAAGCATAAAACCCCTATTTCAATGTGGGCATTTTGCTTATTTGTTTGTTATTTGTTTATTTAACAAAATATACTGCTTGATTGTGACAAAACCTCCATGCAGCTTATAAGTAATGTGAAAATTATCAATAAAAGCAGTTTAAAAAAGGAATATTTTTCATTTAAAAACCCACAAAACGTTTTAATTAAAATTAGAAAGAGATGTAAGACGTGTGCCTGGATAGGCTTGCCTAAACAAAAATGTTTTAAGCAGATGCCAAAAATAATACAGCAAAGGAAACTGTCAGTAGGCCAGGGGTTCCAAAGTCTAGGTGCTGCTACACTAAACTAATGATGTCTTACATGGAGCGAGCACTGTGTGGCACCTGTAACACTGCCAGTCTTGCAGATCAAAGAGGTCAAGTGGACACATATTGAGTAAATGGAACCCACAAGTAAACTGACCCCAAGCTGTTAAGGGCTTTGTATACCAACACTTTGAACTTGGCCTGGTAACAGTTTGCCAAATCATGCAGAGCTCTGAACAGAGGTGTTGTATGCTGGCAGGGTCTTGCTCTTTTGCAGTAATCCAGTCTTGAAGTAGCTGGTGCCTGAACTATTGTGGTCAAGGTCCTTTGCTCCAGGAAAGGTCGTACCTGTCAAAGCTGGTAAATGTTTAAGTACGGCGCACTTGTATTTGGTTGGGCCATAGTGATGGGAAGGTGGAAAACGAAGTTGAGAAGTGAAATAAAGCAACTGGAGAGCATAGCTTCCCGAGTTAGTGTTAGGATGTACGTAAAGTAGCAGTATACTCAGGGGGGATAAGGGATGGGAGACTGATCCAGAAAACCCCATAAGCCTCTGGGATATAGATACCAATGGAAATCAAATTTCTGCTGAACACAAAGCTTAGTGCATAAAAATTAATCAAGTACTACAATGACTCGCTTTATTCATAATACTTAATGGTCATGTAATAGGCATTTTTATTCAGCAGTTAAAGTTCATAAGTGCAGGTTTTACATGTAGAAAGGTATTATGCTGATGGTTTAATTACACACCTTTTTGCACACCAAAAGGAAATGGATTCTGCAGCTTTCATAATTAAAGAAGGACTTTGGAGGGGAAATGAACTTTACAGTAAGCAGCCTATCACCTGATTTTTATCATGTGTTTTTGTTTTGCGTCAAGCAATTCAAAACCTCATTCTACAAATGTTAAAGCCATAAACGGGAGCCAGGAAGCGCCAGGGGGGTGGTTTGATTGTGATAGCCATTCCAACTGTATTCTTAAGACTTTACAAAGCAACCATAAACGTGTCTCATGCATGATCAAATGGGTCTCATGCATGATCCGATGGATTCCCAAAGAATTATGTACATTAAGATTGGGCCTGCCTTTACTCTGAAAGTGGGTGGGCAAAAATGAGCTGGGGGGAAATTAACTGGACATTTCATGCATAAGATCATTCCAATTAAAATATTAAGCAGCCTGTATTATGGCAGGGCTACTCAGAGGTCTGGAAAATGTCCCACACTTCCACAGAAGGCTGAGAGGAAGCCTGTCTAATACCCCAGTCAGGGAACTGGAGAATAATGGCATTGTCTCTCTAAAAACAAGAACAGAAGAGTAACAGGAAACTCCTGAGTCCACTCAGATACAACAAAGTCTAGTGCCACCTAGTGACTAGACTTTAGAATCACACTATCCACACATCTGCCCCATTTTATTTAAAGAAGCAACAAATAATCAGCCCTATTGAAACATATATATTTCAAGACAGAATTAATCTCAGAAGCTTCCAAATAACTTGACCTGAATGAGGGCTCATCTGGTTGGCATCTGTCTGCCTTGGGAGACAGTGGGAGAGTGCACCTCCTGGGGTGAAGACAAACTGTTGGAGAGTTACAGTGACTGCTGTGGCGAAATGTTTTGTTGCACCTGGGGCAGATGAAGGTGTCCAGTTGTGCACCACAGTGTTTCATCTATTATGTGCCCATCAGAGTAATAACATTTTTGTCTGCCTTGCAAGATGGCTCAGGCAAGTTGGCTCAGTGTCTAGAATACAGAAGTTTACTGATACCATTGGGACATCACTGCTTCTTATTGAAGCTATCTAATACTGAGTCATAAGGACGTGGGTGGCGCTGTGGTCTAAGCCACTTGCTGATCGGAAGGGCGGCGGTTCGAATCCCCGCGACGGGGTGAGCTCCCGTTACTCAGTCCCTGCTCCTGCTAACCTAGTAGTTTGAAAGCACGTCAAGTGCAAGTAGATAAATAGGTACCACTCTGACGGGAAGATAAACGGCATTTCCGTGCGCTGCTCTGGTTACCCCAGAAGCGGCTTAGTCATGTTGGCCACATGACCCGGAAAAACTGTCTGTGGACAAACGTCTGCTCCCTTGGCCAGTAAAGCGAGATGAGTGCCGCAACCCCAGAGTCGTTCGCGACTGGACTTAACTGTCAGGGGTCCTTTACCTTTTTTTAAAAAAAATACCGAGTCAGGCCTTTGATTTATTTAGCACAGTATAGCCTCCTAGTATGAATATACCCAGACGCTTAGATCTTCTTCTGAGGCACTCCTTCAGGTCTCCCTCTGAGAATGGTGACAAGGGAGAGAGCTTCCTGTCTCTGGAATGCTCTCCCCAGTGAGGTACACCTAACACCTTCATTTACATTTTTTTGGTGCTATTTAAATACTTATATTTGCTCCAAGGCTTTTGAGACTAAGGTAATATTTTGTTTCTAGTGTGCTGCCCAAGCTTCCTGTGACTGTTACGGTGGTTGTTTTTTTCTGTTTTTATATGATATTTTTATATTTATGTTTTAAATGATTATGATAATTATTGATTGAGTTTCTATAACACCGGCCCGGTTTAAAAGGCCATAGGTTGTTTAATCATCCCAAGGCCTGAGAGAAGAGGAATGTTTTTGCCTGACCCCTAAATATATGTAACGAAGGCGCCAGGCAAGCTTCCCTGGGGAGAGCAGTCCACAAGTGGGGAGCCACCACAGAAAAGGCCCGTTTTTGTGTTGCTGCCCTCTGGGCCTCTTGTGGAGGAGGCACATGAAGAAGAAATGTGTTGTAAGTCACTTAGAGACCTCCAGGTAGCAAGAAACTAACAAGTCTATAGAATAATAATAATTGCCCCACAGAGACCTCTTGGCAGGGTTATTAGGAGGAATATGAGCTAAGAGTATGGAATCTGATCCTGGAGAATGACCCAGTGGCTTAGGAGCTGCAGATTGGAATTCTGCATGCTTAGAATCCAAGAACTGGATCCATAAGCAGAAGCCAGGATAGTAGTAGATTTATTTATTTGTTTATTTATTTGCCAGGCCTTTTTCCGTCTGGAACTTGTAGGAACTCAGTTTCAACACCTCTCAATTGGCCGCTATTGCCACTCTAAGAGAACAAGAGAGGTGTTCGTGGTTAGTGCTGCATATAACTGGAGAGCTTCTATCACTTTTCATGTGAGAAAAGTTTTTGAGAACCGTTGAGCCTGAGGATTCCCCAACCCTGGTAAACTTCGTTAGAAGTATTTTCCAATTTTTATTAGTGGTTTTATTGCAGTGCTTTATCTGCTCCTGTTAGTCGGAAAAATAGCTTTAAATATTGAAGTGGTAATTAATGAATCTTTTATGTTGCAAATCAAACATTTTCATCTAAGCAGTAGCAGAGAAAGAAAAGAGGATTTAAAATATAATTGTTTCTGTAGCTTCCCTTCCTGGGTTGAATGCTTTTTACCCTTTGTTATTTCATTGCCATTTTTTTTTGGGGGGGGGCTTTATTTTATCTGTGGTGCACTACCTCTTATCACTAGGTATTTGTTGCCTTCCCTCTCCCTGCCCCCCCCCCCCCGGCCTGCCCCGGTTCAATATTTCTTACTCTGCCTTCGCCAGAGACATTCCTAAGTAGATGGAAAGTCTCTGAATGTGGAATTTTCGCATGAGTGCAAAATAATAAAAAGCATGTGTGTATTAAAAAGAGATCAGCTTAATGGGAAATGAGCATTGGGTTCCATTAATATTCTATTACAGTGAAAATCATATTTAATAAATTTTCTCCAGATTTTTTTTTTAACTGTATTTTTCTCTGTTGCCCGCCAATCTAAAGAAAACATTGTACATGATACATTTGATTTATGTTGAGTAAATAACCTGCGCCGCTCCGCTTAGGGGAGAAAGTTTTTTTAAAAAAAATTAGCATAGAAGTCTTCAAATGCATTCCAGACGATAATATGAGGTTAATTTCCACATGCGAAAGTGATGTGTTTTGTGAAGCAAAAGGGCCTTTTTATAAACAGTATTTTTGTTGGAGTGTTGTTGGCTTTTTAAAAAAAATAGTATTTATGGGATCCAGCGTTATATGAAAAGAGCTGTAATTTATCCAACGGAAGCGTGAAATTAATACGGCCCTGAAGTAATGACTCCCCATGTAATGTTATTGTTTTGGAATCCTAGAGCATCATCTATTGTGTGAGCACCCCATCCGACCAATTATGTGCCTGGTTTGTGCACATGTGCAGCTCCTCACGGAATACTGCCCCGCAATCAAAAACGGCAGGAGTAAGATTGGCTTCCGACACGGTTAGGTAGCAACTTCGCCCATCTGCAAGTGAGGGAGGTGGCCTGTGTATACCAGTGAGGGTGAAGCTTGGCAGGGACAGGGTGCACTGCATATGCCTATCTGGATATGTATTCCCCGTTAACCGTTGAGCTGCGTGGGTGCCAGGTTGTACACAGGCAGAAATGTGCAGCCACATACAAGCAAAGGGACGCGGGTGGCACTGTGGGTTAAACCACAGAGCCTAGGACTTGCCAATCAGAAGGTCGGCGGTTCGAATCCCTGCGACGGGGTGAGCTCCTGTTGCTCGGTCCTGCTCCTGCCAACCTAGCAGTTCAAAAGCATGTCAAGTGCAAGTAGATAAATAGGTACCGCTCCGGCGGGAAGGTAAACGGCATTTTCGTGAACTGCTCTGGTTTGCCAGAAGCAGCTTAGTCATGCTGGCCACATGACCCGGAAGCTGTACGCCGGCTCCCTCGGCCAATAAAGCGAGATGAGCGCCGCAACCCCAGAGTCGGCCGCGACTGGACCTAATGGTCAGGGGTCCCTTTACTTTACCTATACAAGGAAAATGCCTTATGCCTCCAATATCACCCAGTCTAGATGTTACACTCACCGCAGGGAGAAGCCTACACATTGCCCACATCCAGCAGCTTAATCATTCTCATCATAGAAGCCAGAGCCGTTACTGTGAGCTTCACTGTCTGCAGTCCACAGCAGTGGCGTTTGCTGGCAAGGGCTGAGAAACTCAAAGCATGACAGAGACATAGGAAGCAGCCATATACTGAATGAGACTCTGGATCCAGCTAGCCTAGTACTTCTGTCAACACTGGCTGATAGCGACTCCCCAATGCTTTTAGGCCTCCCTGGAGATGTCTGAACCTCGGATCTTTTGCATGCATCCCTGAGCTATGACCCTTTTCCCTTAAGAAGCCACAACCAGTAAAGTTATGAACAGCAGCAGGACAGGGTGCAACTCAACAGAGGAGTGAAGTTCTTTAGAGCTAGACGACCAGGGGCATTGAAAGTGGTGCCCTCGTGATGATGTGGTCCACAGTTCCCAGTAGTTCCAGCCAGTATGTCTTCTTGTCAAGGATGATGGGAGCTGCATTTGGTGGATACCATATTGGCTATCCCAAGTCTGTTCATACTTGCTTGCATGCTCACTCAGTTACGGACGCGCACACACAGCAGTAGCAACAACTCCCATGTTTTCCTCATGACAACCATTATGAAGTGATTTATTATTGCCATTTTAAAGATGGGGATCTGAGGCTTAGGGGAAAAAGAGACTTGCCCAAGTTAACATGGCAAGTCAGTGCTCCAACTAAGATTTCAAACTATACCCTGGCCTATGTGAGGATGGCACCACTTGTTCTTTAAAGTCAAAGCTCTGTTTCTTTGGGCCTTTTCTAAGGAAGCGGTTGCTTTGAGCCAGAGCAGCATTGTCTGTTAGCTCCCCTTGCCTTTTCTCATACATACAAAACGATTGACGCAGCCCTGATCATAAGCCACAGTAGCCGACCCTTGTTGTTCCCTGACCCTAATTAATATTAGACTCTCTGACATTTATGTATCAGAGCCAGAAGCTAAACAGGAAACAATTTATGTCACCTAAAGCTTTTTAACAAATCGATGCAACTATTTGTAATTGCTTGTTTCACAAGATTAAAAGTGCTTAGGCCTGATCTTCGCGCACCCGTTTTGTGGCCAACATGACCTGGGCTTCTGTTATAAAACAGGAGTGTTGGTGATCAGCACCTATTTCCATCAAGCAATCCATATTGCTAATATTTCTGGAATTTTAATGTAGTTACAATTTATAGCCAATCAAATGTGGCTACCTAAATTGCTGTTGCTAGTAGACAGTTTAACTGTCTTTATTAATTACAGTATAATTTAATGTTTGAGTACAGGCACTTGTGTTGGTCATTTTTACAGCTAAAGCAGTTATGTGCCTTATGACGAACCATTTTAGCATTTTCAATGGAAATTTGCTAAAATGATGAGTGATAAAACCATCAAACTCTGGTAAATAATGGTTATTGCTTTGAGTGGAATTAATCTTTGAAAGGACAGTTACCTTCAAATTAGCATTAGAACTTGAAGACAAAATGGTTTTCCGACTTCTGTGATTACATCCAAATAAACATGATTGCTGCATTATGCCCAGAGAGTCGGTATCACCAGATGATTTTGCAAAAGTGTTCCTTGCCATTCAGACGTGTGTGGCTGAATGCTGACATTTATGCTCATTTTACAGTTTACAGTGTATATGTTTTGAATTTAAACAAAGGAATCTTAGGTGTTCTCTTGTGCTTTGGAGACTAAGGAACAAATCTTGCTTGCCACCACCACTCCCTAGATGACATAAAAGCTGCTCCTTGTCCCTCAGCATCCCAGCTACAATAGTGAGACGATAACACTGATATACCTTTCAGGGTTATTGCATAAGTCAGTAAAATAATGCGCTTGAACTGCTTTTCAAAGCTCTAGAACTGTTATTTTGCATATAAACGCGTGCGCGCGCACACACACGCACACACACGGGCTAATGTCAACCACTCAACATAATAATAAGTAGTAGTTGCGGTCACTTTCTTAGAATGCATTCCTTTGTGCATGTTAAAGTGACATTTTAAAGTATTTAAGGAATCGAGCATTAATCTATGTAGGGCTGAAAGCTTTTAGCTTTGCACTGCAATCCAGTGCATACCTACTCAGAAGCAAGTCCCGGTCTTATCTATTTCGTTATGCCATTTCTAGACCACCCAAAGTCATCTGGGCGGTTCACAAAAATCAGTTAAAATGCACAAATACAATGCAATCAATAAACACAGAACCAGCACAAGCATTACCAAAACAGCATAAAAGCAGACCAGGATGAAATTTATGGAAAAACCCCACCCGCAAAAAGCAAAGAGAAAGCAATTTCACTTTATTATTTCATCAAAGCGCTGGAAGACTAATATACCATGTGTTTTTTTTTAATCAGTTGACATCCATAGTTATTTGGTGGGGGCTCCTAGGATTTTTATTTTTTTAAAAAAACTTTGAAGCTAATAATTATTTGCTTTTATTTTTGGATTATGATGTGTGCGGGGAGAGGTTTATTTTACGGGGTAGGTGTTTGAAGCCTTGAACACATAGGGTCAGGTACAAAAAAAATTTTTTTGTTTATCGCTTTCTGATATTAACGTAGTTGTTCAGATTCTGGCAGAAATCTATAGTACACGCTGGCGCTGATTTTAAAGAACAGAAAGTAGTTAATGTTTTAGAGTAAAATGATATGGCTATTTGACACATATGGAGACAAATGAGATTGTAAAATAAAGAGCTTGTGAATAGGTTGGGGTTTGTGTCTGTTTTGGATGAGTAGTTTCAGTATAATTGATTAACTTGGTTGTGTGTGAGGCCCAGGAACTTAGCATTACAGTGGTGCCTCGGGTTAAGTACTTAATTCGTTCCGGAGGTCCGTACTTAACCTGAAACTGTTCTTAACCTGAGGTACCACTTTAGCTAATGGGGCCTCCTGCTGCCGCCGCACCGCCGTACGATTTCTGTTCTCATCCTGAAGCAAAGTTCACAACCTGAAGTTAAGGTTCTGGGTTAGCGGAGTGTGTAACCTGAAGCATATGTAACCTGAAGTGTATGTAACCTGAGGTACCACTGTATTTAAATTTGTGTTGGCCACGTGGGCCCTGATCCAGAGCAGTGTGTGTGTTCTGCTGCAACTTTGCATTTGGATGCTTTTGTACTCCTGCAACAGCTGGTTGCCATTGGTGTTAGCTTGTTGGTCAAAGGAAAGACGAGCCTGGATACATTACTCCCTACAAACAGGTGTACATTGTCACAAGCTGATGCCTTTGAGGTCATGTTGATGATTAGGTTGATGCCATGCTCATGAGTTCTTGCGGGAGACAAACCACGAACCCCAGTTCTCATCTAACAGTAAACCAAACCATGGCTTCACTCATGATAGTGTAACAGCAGAGGGAGTGGTGAAGGAGCAAAGTGGCCACGATTTTCTAACAGTGCACCATTCATGCTTATTAGGGTTAGTGTTACATGCATATCAATTATTATGTTGGTCATGCTTTCGAAAACACCCAGTAAGGAATTTCTGTATCCTTTAACTGAGGCTGCCACCAATAGCATTTTGTCTTTGTTCAGGATCGTCTACCAATTCTAGTTTCTGAGTCTTAAGCACTTCCACCTTTCTACTTGCTGCAGTGTTTCTTCATGCTGCTCATAGTACATTTTCATAAGTTATTCTTGCGTATGCACAGAAGAAGAAATGCACCGGACTGCACTTTAGACCTGAATCGGAGCCTCACTTCAGTTTCCTGAAGGTTCAGGTGTCTCCCCACTGAATGCCCATATAGCATTGGATGCCCTGTGCACCAGGGCAGCTGTCAAAGCAGGAAAGTGAAACCTGCACCCCATTTGGTATGTAGAGGGGGGGAATCCAAATCCCCAGCAAAGACCCTGTTGCCCCAAGAGTTCTTGGCGAGGATTGGATATGCCCCTACCAGCTGTTTTTGAGGGAACACTCTTTATTTCCCCTCATTGTAAGTCAGTGCTGAGGGACTGGCTTTTGGAGTTGCTATCTTCTAATCCATTGTCTGCACTGGTGTTGCATTATTTACTTTCAGAAGTACATAAGATCCTGGCTAAGTTACACTGACGTTATCTCAGCACTAGCTGTAACGAGAGGAGTGTTCTTCCCAGTTGCTGCAACGTAAGGATTAAAGGGAGCTAAGGAAATAAATAAGAGTAGCAAATACTTAAGTTTATGCTGTTCATAGCAGTACCGAAGTCAATGAAAACAGCATGGTGTTCCACAATAATGGTACCGTGATCTGGATATGTTAATTTAGTGCTTCGTTAGTTCGAAATTGTGTGTTGAGTCTTCAGGAGCAATCATTTATGATTTCATATAGCTCATTCCACATCATTTCAATTATGCAAAGGATCAACAAGCTAGTTGTGCATCCATTTCAGACAACGAAAAGCAAAGTTTTAGTCCCAAGGACATGGCTGAAATCTGCTGGAATTCAGTTAGTCCCTGGTTCACATGCCCAGGCTTCTCGTATTCTTGGGTTCAACAGAACCACAGGGTGAGTTACTCAAGCCGTTGTGGGCTTGAAAGGAGAAAGGCAAGAGAGTGCTGGTTTTTCTGTTAGAAAAAAGGGAGAACACCATGCGTGAGCTGAAGGGCAGCAGTCAATAGAGCTGTCATTCATCTGAACTAAGGTGTCAATATGTGCAATTCAACCATGTTTCTTAAAGGCATGACAGCCTCTACCAAGTCTTGCTTTTCAACGGGAACACAACCCTGGGTGAGTGCCAGGAGCCCTCTGGAATCTCATGCACTGCTCAGCAGAGATGGGTGGATGCGCTACCTTTGTAACAATATCCCAACCAAGATAGCTTTGGGGGAATGGAGAGGGCAGTCACCAATGAAGCCCACCGCTCCTCCCCGTCCAAGCCAATACTACACAACTCTATGTCATGATGCAGAGCTGGCACAGATGACGTTAGGGAGGGGGGAATGGTTTCTGTGAAAGTGGAACTGGTGGTGGCAAAAAGAGCTGTTTTTGTTGGTCCTCTGCCCCACTTCACACCTTCCCTTTCAGCCCACCTATAGATGCTGAAGAGAACGTATAAGCATGTATTCTACCAAAGGGGAATTCTCTTTACAGTGGTACCTCGGGTTACATAGGCTTCAGGTTACATACGCTTCAGGTTACAGACTCCGCTAACCCAGAAAAAGTACTTCAGGTTAAGAACTTTGCTTCAGGATGAGAACAGAAATTGTGCTCCGGCAGCGCGGCAGCAGCATGAGGCCCCATTAGCTAAAGTGGTGCTTCAGGTTAAGAACAGTTTCAGGTTAAGAACGGACCTCCAGAACGAATTAAGTACTTAACCCGATGTACCACTGTACTTAGGAATATGCAAAGCTGTATTATGTCAGGTCAGACTACTTGTCAGTCTAGCCCAGTATCATCTACTCTGACTGCAGCAACTTCCTGTGGGCTCACCTGCTCCTATTAACTGGAGGCACCAGAGACAGAACCTTCCTTGGGATCTTCGATGTGCCAAGCATGTGCTCTGCCTTTATGTTGTAGCTCAGGCATAGGCAAACTCGGCCCTCCAGATGTTTTGGGACTACAACTCCCATCATCCCTGACCACTGGCCCTGTTAGCTAGGGATGATGGGAGTTGTAGTCCCAAAACATCTGGAGGGCCGAGTTTGCCTATGCCTGTTGCAGCTAAACCCGGCAGTGGAGAGTGTTGATAATGTAGCATTATGAACGCTGCAGTGTTATGGTCTTCTATAGACAAATTTACTTTATTCACTGTATTGCAACTGACAGGTGAAATAAATTGAGTATTTTCTCTCTAGATATACATAGTGTAGAATACACTATTTGTGAAAAAAGTTAAAATCTACTATAAGGAATGAAAGGAAGGAAGATAGATCTAGGACACATTCCCAGTATTATTGTAGCCATAAAGGTGCATTACCTATTAATTTCTGCTAATAACATTGCTGTTACATCAGCTGATGAAAAATCAATAATAGTTCAATACGCTATTGACATCAATTAACATAACTTTCCCCATCCATTTAATGTTATGATAGAGTATTTTTATAAAATCATTTCTACTAATTCAAGCATTTATCATTATATGCAAAAAGATTGCTTGATGAGAATATTATAGACGGTGCATGTTTTTGACATTAGCATTTTATTTGGATGACTAATCTTGCAGATGTGAAATTTTAATGAATTATTCATGAAAATGCTTTTCTCTGAAATTTTAGTTCCTGCTATTGCTAGTTATTAAACACTTTTTTATTTTCCTTGATGTAGAAGATAAACGTATGCTTACTCAAAGAGAGGTGGGTGGACTGTACTCCCTCCTTACAATTTGCCTATAGGGACAATGATGCTCTTTAAGAGTGGCCTAATGTATTGGCCATCGAGTTTTGCAAAGCATCTGTGTTTCTTAAGTGAAGGACTTATGCCAAAACCAATGGTACTGAAATCAATGAAACTGCTGTGAGCTCACAGCATGACTCTTCAACTTCATTAATCTGAATGGCCTGTGGGAAATTCGGAAGATGCACATAATCAGAAGATCAGATAAACAGGAGTGAAGGAAGTGTTTGCACAGAGTAACTCTTGACTTGGCATGTTGATAGTGACTTTGGATCCAAAAGTGTCCTTCTGCATGAAATGGCAGCTGCTGGCATTAGTGGAGGAGCATCGTGTGAGAAAAGTGAACCCAAATCCAGAGAGGCTGGCTGCCGATCATGACTGGTTGCTGCTTTGAACCCAAGCTTGCTAGAGCTATGAGAGGAGCTACTCAGAGGAGCCACTCTAGGGGTTTAATGTTCTCCTTTGAAGGTGTCAGGTGCAAATACGTGTAACCGTATTTCTTAAAGACACTAGTCTCCACTGTGCCTCAATTTCCCAATGGAGAAGCGACCCTGGTTGAGTGCCAAGACCCCTAGAATCTCTTTCTACCACCTGGTGGAGATTGGGGTGGCTTGTAACAGTACCATGCTGAAAGGTCCCACAACACTGTTCATTCATATATATGGTCTAAGGTCGTTCCCCCCCTCCCCTGGTCAGTTTGTTCTGGGCTTGAATGAATAACAGAAGTATTTGTATTCACGATGTGACAATTTGGAAAAGCTTTACGAGTTGCACTTCAATTTTGTTTTACTGCATTTGTTTGTTCCCTTTTTACTCTTTCAGGGTAAATCCATAAATAGTTCCCAGGTTTTTACTAGGGTAACAGCGGGTCTTTTAAGTAGGCAGCTTAGGATGGCACCAAGTTCAGTGGGACTTGCACCAAGGAAAATGTGAAAAGGATCATGTTCTAAGTGATGGTTTTGATCGTATTTTCTCAGTAGGTGGGTACAGAGTCTGCATGGTTAGTGAAGTTTGGTTTTAAGGCAATGACTTGATTAAAAACTGGCATCTTCACCCACTGTATTCCTTCCCGACATGGAAACAAAAATTTTAAAAATATGCCTGTGCCAGTGAAGGACAACACCTCCCATTAAAGCTATGAATGGCTGGAAGGCTCCTGCTGATGAACTTCCAAGGGTACAAGTAGACATAGGTGTGGTATATTTGAGCACAGCACCAGCATACGGGGAAAGCAAAAAACACATGGCCCATGGCAACAAATATCACCAGTGTGAACAACCAGCACTTTTATTGCATTAGAGAATGCTATAATGTCAGTAATAAGTACTGACTACACAACATTTTATTGTCTGCATCAACAGACATGGAATGATGGAATTACAGTTGATGTAAGGAATGAGTTTCTTGTATGCCTCAAAAACCAAAACAAAACAAAAAAAGGGGAATCTTGTTACTGGCAGCACATACACATGAAGAACCATGCTAACAGTCTGGACTGTACCATTTTCATCAAGGCTTTTGGGAAGGAGATATCCTGTTACTAACTCTGGGCCTGTTTAAAAACGTGGAACGGGTCTGCAAATGCAACTCTCAAGACTTTTAAGAATGATAAATTAGTTTTCCGCGACATCTAAAAAGTACGTTAAGCAAAAAAGATACCAAAACTTTCCAAAAGAGTTTAAAACACATTCTCCATGCTATAAGGAACGTAGCTTGTCAGCATTCTGAAAACTACAACAGTTCAAAATTATTTTTTAAAACTTTGATATATTTATATATATATATTTATATATAAAATATCTAATGATCTGTATTATTCGTAGATTCATACCCCCTCCCCATCTCCTCCTTCTCCCACCCCTGATAAGCTGATCATGGGCGCTATGGCTGGGTTCTCCTAAAGGAGAATCAAACATTTTTATTTATTGTATTTCCTTACTGAAGTTTAACATAAGCCTTGATTCTTTCCCCCCACCATTTTCTTCTGCCCCTGGTCAAATGTAGAAATCCAGCAGGTTTTAAGCATTTGAACTGCGTTGTCCCAAACCAGAGAAGGGATGAGCTTTACACAAAAAGAGGGTTCTGGCTATGGAACTCTTTCTACTGTCGGTGCAAGAAGTTGCTAAGAGTACCTGCTGCATCCAGCCCTTAGGGGGACATGCAGGGTATTCATTTCCGTCTAGAGGTCTGCAAATGCAGCAGAAAGCTGCAGACACGTTGCTGCATTTAGAGTCTATGTGGGGAGGAAGACTTTCCCCTCTTACATCCCCGCCTCCTGCTCTGGAACAGGTGATCAGAGCTGACAGCTGAGCTCAGCTGGGGGAGGGAAGAGAGCTCAGTCAGTTCCATGGAGAGGTTTTTATTTTGTGTGTGTGTGTATGGATAAGGTAGGCTTCGACTCTCATTCCTGACAGTGGTTTACCTGTACTACTTTCATTATGTACGCTTTTCTTTTGAGAGAGAAAATAAAATAAAAACAGAGCATGTAACAAATTGTCTTTACATCTTGGCACCTTGTAAAGTATTTCTTTTTTTTATACAAAAGTTCAATAATTTTTGACACTCTCCATTATTAATCACTACTTCACTGATAAAACTTTGAAAGTGTGACCTTGGAAATTCATCATGCAAAGTATTTACTGCAGGAGGAGAAAACATTTTTTTGAAACAACTTTTCCCCGCCCCTTAAGACAGCCAGAAATAGGCAGTGGTAGGGAAATAACAGAAGGGGCAGGGAAAGTATTTAAAATGAAAACAAAACAGCATAACAGCAACAACAGCAACAAAAAAAAACCTGTACAAAAATGATTTGATCCATAACAGGGGGGTTGGGGTTGGGGGGTTGGGAATCATTTGTCATCTATGTTACATTTTAGAAGCCAGAAGGAAGGGGGGGGGGGAATCTGCCAAAACCAAAACAAAGAGTTTGGGATTTTCTCCCACATGTCAGCAAATGTCATCCAATAGTCTTAAAGCAAGGATAACTAAATAAAATATATGTGCAGCATATTCTGCAATTCCATTACATACAGTAGGATTTTTTCCCCAAAGCATTTTTTAAAAGTATAGTTTATATAAAGCAGTTGCACAAAAAGCAAAGGGTGTTTTAACAGGTATGCATTTATTCCTTTTGAGGAATGATTTTTTTTTTATTAAAAAAGGACCTTCTCCCTCCCCCCCATTTCTTTCCCCTGCTGCCCCATCCCACCCACCAAAAGACAAAAAGGATCACAGAGACACATTGGGCTATATATGTACAACATAATAAACCCCACCCTATAGGAACAATTGTTATTATTGAAAGGGACACAGAATCAGAAATTTGTAAAAAATAGCAAAGTTTGCTTGATGTAAAGCCTGAGATTTTTCTCTTGGTTCTTCTGCAGGTCAGTGATACCTGCAAGATACGGTAAGTCTAATTTTTTATTATTTCATTTTCTCTTTTATTATTTTGCTACAGTCTTTAGACTATGCATGCAAGACATATAACTAAGTGCAACTGAGTGAAATGTAGTTGTTTTTTTAAAAAAATTACTCATTCCCTAACAGTTTGAACTGAGGTATGCGTACTAACAGTTTCTCATGCTGTTATCTTTACTCGTCTAGCTACACATGCTGAGAATGAACTAATCTACCAGATTTTTATCCCCTTTTGGAATACCAAGCTAACCAGCAAAACCACTCAGTTTTTAAGCACGGGGATCGCTTCTTGTGATCCCCCCTGGCCATCTCTTGCACGCCATGGCGCTGCCTGAATACGGTTTGTTTCCAAAATGTTTCAAATGACCACAGACTGCCCTCCTTTAAATTAAAACAAAATCAGGAAAGGGGGGTGGGTGGAAAGTTGTGTTTTTATATATTTCACTGTCAGTAAAAGATGCAGCAACTTGCATCCAGTTGAAGTTAATGGCAAAAATCTCCCATTGACTTGAATGGTACCAAAGTTTACAAGGGGACAGGAGTGTTATTCTGCGTGGAAGATGCTGACCAAATTTCAAAGGGGGGAAAAAAACCCCAAACACAACAACAGTCACAATCACTCTAAGGTCCTGTGCACAGATTAAAGCAAATTAAACAGAAATTGCCTTGCAATTTGCTTTAAACAAAAGTGAATAGGATTTGCAAGGCCGGAGACCAAACAAAAGGTTAGAAAATAAAATTCTGGAGATACTATTATATGGTTCAGTTTAAGTTGCGAGAGTTCTTCTGAATATTACGTAAGCGTCTCCTTTGTTTTGCAGGAAAATTAGACTACTCTTCTGTTTTCTCAGGATGAAATGCTGTCCTTACATGCTCCCTCCACTTAATACTGTTCCATAGCTTTAGCCTTAAAAGGTCTTTCTTTACAGAAATACATTTGGTCCCTGTAAAGAAACAAAAAATAAAACAAAACAACAACTTTGGTTCAGCAATCTACTTGGTCTTCTAACTTAGACTCTAATAAAGGAGCAGTTTCCCTTCTCAGGTTAGCCATAGCCCGTATCTTGACATTTGCTTCTAAATTCTTTCACCTCCTTTGATCAACAATAAGAGGATATTTGGCTTCATAAGATAAAGCATATAACAGAGAACATAATTTACCTTTGTGTAATATCTTTGGTAATTTTAGGGGGAAAGGTACAAAAGTAGAATATAAATTAAAGAACAGAAAGGCGTTTGAAATTAAAAAGCTATAGTCCGACATAAATAAGTGAGTTACGGAGAAGTGGCTGGAGAATGGAAAGTGTTTAGATGTGCAGTGATCAATGGGTACCAATGTTTTAACAGCAGCTGCCTGCCCGCATTTGCTTTGAAGAATGCTGCAACTTGCAACAGTGCTAATTCACCCACAGGCTTCAAGTTGTCAGTTTCTGATACTGGTTGGTGTAGTATTGTGTAATGTTCTTAACTGCAGTTTGCAGAGTTAAAATTATTAACACTTTACAACTTGTGGGCCTTCCCTAGAAGTTGCATCCAAAACCTAAATTATATTCAAGCTGATGGATACCACCAGTCAATTCTCAAACTGTTTAATCTGTTTAACCACGTATAATGCTCCCATAATGCCCACTTTCGAACGTGAATCGAAAATACGTATAGGCAGATTGGTATTTTAGATCTTCCAGAAGCATTCAATGTCCCAGAAACTCAGGTTAAAAGGCTAAGAGCTTTCCACGATTATATTCATTTCTGACATCATAAAACCCTGTATGGTGTATGTTCAGTGTTTTTTGTGCTGTTAAAAGTTTGTGTTACTAAATATTTACCATTACTGCAAAAAAAGAAATGAAAGCCCAGAAACAAAACTCTGAACAATGATAACAACATACACTGCTCTGTGGAATGAATTTGCACCGCATCCTATATACTGTTTTGTGCTGGTTTGCCTTTCATTCTCAATTCTTGCAACTACCTTTCTTTCTGATCAAAGATATATTTGCACACGGTTACAGCAGCTTTTGAAACCTTTTTCTTTTTGGGGGGGGGTGAGGAGTGGGAATATAGCCCAAACTGGAATGTTTTCCATAGCTAAAGAAAACATGATGGCATCTGAAGGAAACTGGAATGAATGGTAGAAAAAGAACTACAAACAATTCCAAGGACATTCAGCTTTGTATAATAAAAACACCTATTAACATTCATCACAAAAGTACAGAAAACATTTAAGCCTCAAAAGGCTCTGGCCAGTTGAGGCCTGAGGTCAGAACTTAAAATGGTGTAGGAGAAGTAGGGGGGAAATCAAAGTTATACACTAAAAAAATTGGGAGAATTTTCTTTTAACCCCTCTTCAGTACACACACACACTTATGCACGCACACATGTAGATGCACGTGTGCACACACGCACACGACTTCCCCATCCCAAATGGAAGCAAAGAAAGAAAAAGTGAAGGCAGTGATAATCAACATGCGATACTGTGCAAATATTGTCCATTGGAATCCTCAAAATCTGGGCAAAGGCTTGATCTGCAATTATGTGTACATGCTCAGCTTGATGTCTTCGGTGTCCCAAATTGGAAGAATTGCAGTCCAAAGTCTGCTGCCAAATTGTGGATAAATGAATTGGTTGAACAAATTTACAACACTGATGTTGACTGTGAGAGGGAATCCCAAGTACCAAACAAGTCCATCCAATGCACAGAGTACAAATTCCTTTGTTTTGTTTTTTTTCAACAAAAAGTAGAAAAATCAAAAATACTCCCAAATGGGATACTTGATGGCACTAAGAGTTAACGTACTTTATAGCTGTCAAAATGGACCAAGTGTTTCCTCCAGACTGTACAATAATGGGGAGAGATTTCACAGCTAATTTTGAAGTATATGGTTTTTTTTCCTCCCTCCCCGTGATCTTCATTTGCAGGATCACATCATAGACATATTCATTCAATGTCCTCATTTACATTTTCGTCTTCATAATCTCTGTCGTGGTCAAACTCTGGACTGTGATTGGCTGTTGTCACTAAGGACAGCGGGCCTTCATTTTCATCTGGATCTAATGGTTCTTCTTTAACATGCACCGGGTGCCTGTGAACGTAAGAAAAGGAAAGCGGAAATGTTGATGAGCAATTAATTACTTTTTTAAAAAAAAAACCAAGCCTGTTTGGGTTAGAAAAAGTGACCCACAATTCAAAAAGGTTATTCAGTTCTTTATAATAAAGCACCTATTTTTGTATAATTAAAACACCTATCATTTTACAGCAACTGCAGTTGTTTTTTCAAAGGTTTCCGAGAACCTGGAAATACAATCTCTCCTACCAAACGAGGAAAATGACAAAGGGGGAGAGAGATCCTAAGGTGCTTAAAACTCTCCCCCTTTTTAATGGTTGATATGGCGCACAGCTCTCCCCCCACCCGCCTGTTTTTTTCACAAATACATGTCACATTGTGAATCTTAGTTTGGCTGCAAAGGGCAACGGGGGAGTGGGGGTAGAGAAATCCTAAGAACGCCAAGATTCAATAGAAAACAAAACCAGGAAGCAAGCCTTTGCTTCTTTAAGCTTTCTTCGTGGGATTTAGGGAAAATGCTCTCGAGTGACACATTAGCTTGATTAATACAATCTTCGGATAAATAAATGAAATAAGCATCTGTAAAGCAAAACAGTGGTTTATCAGCCCACTGAGCTTCTGGAGGCTGGGCTAATCATCGGTTACTGTGTGTTCTGCTTCTCTAGTTAACATGCAGAACCTGTGAGGCAAGTCTCCAGAGGACGACCCCAAGTGAGGTTCTATCATTAATCAACTTCAAGCAAACACAGCAAAGAGACACCATGATACATGCTTTAAACTCCAAATTAATGCATATTTTTACAAACTGTCAATAAGGGAAGAAAAGCCCTGCCAGGAAACACAAACGGAGAGGAAAAGGCTCGCTCAACACAACAATATGATAAGAAAGCAGAGTCCTAATGAGAATAATAACACTGTCAGCTGTAAACAAGGCAGAACATGATCCTCAGCTCGTGGTGGGCACTAAGGATGCACTAAAGAGATGAGATCTGCCAAATTTCTCATTATAGAATAGCACGTGAATAACCCATGGGGGAACAAGGGTTGATTATACAAAACGGGCATGATAACAATTGAAAAATGTTGTCCGTAAATCATATTCACAACAACCCCTTTACAAATACAAATTACCTTCCTCTTTTTTGTTGTTGGTAGCTTTTGATATGTAAAATACCCCAGCAAGTAAGCAGTGTCTTGTTAAAGAGACTTTATAAAAGGGAATCAGATTTTATTGGCAATATCATGTGAACAGTAATAATACAACCCGTTAAGGAAAATCCAGTTTCCTTTGAAAATAATTGATGTTTAAAGCAATCCCCGAAAATAAAGTAAGGGCAAGTTCCAAGTCTCTCTTGATTTATAACCCGCAACCCTGGATGTTGCAGTCAACGAAATCTAACCCTTTTAATTTGGCAAGGCAAAATAAAGAAATAATCCAGTATGTAAACTTTCACTTTGAAGTGGTTTGAAATAGCTGAGACGTTCTGAGTGGAGGGGAATGATACAACCCCAGAAAAAAACACACACGTAGAATTGCCTGTTGTTCTACTGATCAGCATCAGCCACTTGGTGTGAAACCAGGAATCGCACCATGAGAAGGAGAATAGCCCATGTAGCTGCCAAAAGGGAAGCAAGCCACATGATAGTTTCAGAAACTGAAATGAATGAAATGCATTCATTCATTAATATTACTAGTGGGCTTTGAAACTCTCCAGATGTGTCAAGTGCACCTCAAATCTTTCATCCAGTTCAGGGTTTGGAACTGTGCATTGCTACATCAAGACAGAGGCATTTGCCTCAACATACAGCTTTTTCTGAAAAGGATCACCAGGAAGAAATGATCCTTTTGCTGAGTTATTTAGTTTATGAAAGCCTGTAGGGAAACGTGAACTATATAACAGTTGCTCGTAATGCAAGGCAGCAAAATG